CTTTACAAGCACGCGCGACTTTAAGCAGCGATGCAAACGCGCGATTGCATCGCTACATTTGCATCGATGCAATCGGCTATAAATTGCAAGTCATCATCATAATTTCAGCCAAAAAACGTTCACTGCTGAACATAGACCTTCCCCAAAGAATGCCACAACAATCTGTCCTGCGCCGCTTGCATCCAGCGGATTCCCGCAGCTTTCACCAGATCATCAGTCCACCTTGTGGGTGGTCTGCCCACGCTGCGTTTACCGGTACGCGGTCGCCACTCGAAAACTCTTCGGCCCCATCGGCCATCTGTTCTACGAGCAATGTGCCCTGCCCATTGCCACTTAAGGTTTGCAATTCTTAGGGCTATGTCGGTTACTCTGGTTCCCTTGCGGATATCCTCATTACTGATTCGATCTCGCAACGAAACTCCGCGCATAGCCCTTTCCAGTGCCCTTTAAGTGACCGTGAGCCTTCTTATGAGGCCCATAGTGAGCGACCACGTCTCAATGCCGTAGAAGACTTTTGTCGAAGACTTTTGTCTTGAGACACTGTGGTATTTTGGACAAGAAGATATGGCGTAATTTCCCGAACGCTACCCAGTCGGGTCGGATTCGATGATTGACCTCTTTCTCGAAGTTGGACCTACCTAACTGGATAATTTGTCCTAGGTATACATAATCGTCAACAACTTCGAGTGTAGAGTGTCCAATCTTCACGGGAGTTGGCCGTGGTTACATGGTTATTCGACATCCTATTCGTATTGTCCATGTTCATTTTAAGACCGACTCTTTCGGAGGCTCTATTGAGATCATCGAGCATTGTATTGAGGTCCTCCATGGTATCAAATCGCAAGTGTAGCGATGCAATAGCGCGATTCACGGACGCACGTTTGCATCGCTGCTAAATGTCGCCGTGTGTACCACTCTTATGAGGAATAATTCTACAGAGTATTACAAAAAATTTCGACCATATTTTATCTGCCAATTTTATTCTTAACCATGGACCAATAACTCTAGAGGACTGCTAATCGAGATACAAGAAAGGGTAGTTGGGTACTTAGTACCAATTGGTGACACCAGATGTCGCGACGAGAATCAAATAGCTATTTTTGTAACTATATCAATTTGTTTTACATTGACGAGCTGCAATTTATCAAAGCTCATCGAGTATATAACCAGAAATAGAGACGAAATAAGGGCCATTCATTCCTGATAACACATCAGTGATACATCACTTATAAATATCAAATCTCGTTTGCACTGAAATATAAACCAAAAATATTCTGTATTTATCCATAGACGGAGGCCTGGAGACCTATAGCACAGGGTATCCTAGTTTAGGCTCCAGCCTTCACAGACAACAAATGTTTTATTATCGAGTTCTTAGGTTTTCGCGATTGTTACACATAGGAAATGAAACTATTTTTCCGGATTTAAATCGCGTATATTTGTTTTTTCAAACAAAACGACGTTACGACGAAACAAACCGAAGACTGTACCACCTCAGTCAACCGTGACCATGGGACCTGTAAAGGGCCCGAAACGTCGGTTTGTTTGAAAAAACAAATATACGCGATTTAAATCCGGAAAAATAGTTTCATTTCCTAAATGTTTTATTACTTAAGAAAGTTTAATTATGGTTGAAATTGTGTGTGAAGGAAATAAATTTATTATTATTATTATATTATTATTATTATTATTTATTGTAATAAAGACAATATCTCTAACAATGGAGGCTGTTTCTTTCGGTGGTGTGGGGAAAATCAGCAAAACATCTAATTATAAAAGATAATCTCATCGATAATTAAATATTAAATATGTAATTTTGCAATTTTCATCCATTTGTAGCAAAACTCAAGTGTTAACTTGAGTTTTGCTACAAATGATCGATTTGAAGTGAAACTATCGACGACACCCGTCAATTGTTTCGAATTCGGGCTGGCCAATCGGAGCGCAGTTGTCACAGAAATGATATGGCAGAATAATTTTCAAACCAATTAATGACATTTCCTCTTTATTTAACCGACTTCAATAAAGGAGGAGGTTATCAATTCGACTGTATGTTCTTTTTTTGTATGTATGTTACGCGATAACTCCGGTATTTGTGAACCGATTTTCATGATTCTTTTTTTGTTGGAAAGGGGGACTACCAAAGTAGTCCCATTTCATTTTGAAGAAAATCATCCACCTCGAAGGGTGGCTGTGCACGCATGAAGATTCATTTTTATAAATAGCGCCTAACTTTAATTTAGGAGAAATTACTTTAATGGTTGATTTTGCTATTTCTCCAATTCAAGGCGTTCTTCTCTCTATATAATTCTGTGTAGTGAGAACCGATTTTTATTATCTCTAGTGTCAAGTCCTGTATAGTGGCGAAATAGGGGATATTACAATAAAACTTAGCAAATAGACGTAATTCCACGTACTTTTGAGGTCGGTTTTTTTAGTACTCTGTACTGAGATTATTCTCTTAGAGGATGGAAAAAAATAAAGGAAAGTCTAAACTATTTCTGGTTATATTACTCGATGTCAAAGCTACTTTATTTTCTGTTGATAACAAACAAATCAACTAGATGGCGCTAATAGTTTATTTTTGGTGAATTTATTATATTTTGTAAAGTCTTGGGTGGTGGTAGTAGAAGTTGTTGTTTATGGTATTAGTAATATAGTCCTATGAGGTTGTTAGTATTTTACAAATAACCTTATATAACATAATATTGTGTTAAGTTGTTATACTATGGTACACCCACGAAAATCAAGAAGCAAGAAAATTCTTACCCCTGCACGTTTAAAAAATGAAAAGGAAATGACATTTATCCCACTCAAAACCAGCTAACTGGGGTGTCTGAGCCATCAAATATATCTATTTCCCTGGTACTTAGGAACCCTGGACACCTGATAATATCATTCAAGGTCCGGAGAATGCAACTTATCATGTGCATTTCTAATTTCACAATCGATTGCAGCTCTTCAGTGGAAATTCTACCTACTTCTCGTCGTTCACATGTTTTACATTTGAAGCATTAAATAGTGTCATTGAGTCCGAGATTGTTTTGTTATCAGAATATTTTCTCTTTAGTTCACAGACATACTTTCAATGTTAACACAATCCTGTGAGGATTTTCTCAAACTATGTTTCTTCCGCAATGAGCGGGTGGATCGCTGTCGCGGCATATTCAACCCTATCCTCACTGCAAAGGGCATGTGCTGCACATTTAATAACCAGTACAAATTTATCAAACGGTCAGGGAGGTGAGTGTTTTAACCAACTTCAAAATAAATTAACTTAACACTTCAAAAGGGTTGTACTACGTGAGTGCGAATGCCGATTACGCGTATGACGATAGTGCGAAGACGATTGCGCGATAGTTTATTTGAGCGAATGGCCAGTTGCGCGAAAGTTTAAATGCGCGATAATTCATTAACGCGAATGGTCAATTCCGCGAAAGCTTGAATGCGCGATAGTTCATTTGCGCGAATGACGATAGCACGAAGACAGATTTGACTCCCATTGCTGCAGGATGTTGCAATTCCTTGCAATGCAAAGCTTTTATAATAAAGTATACGTTTACTTTTGTAAAAGTTTATTAGGTAGCTTGCAACAATTAACTTGCCTTCAGGGCTTTCGCAAATCTGTCTTCGTGCTATCGTCATTCGCGCAAAAGAAGTATCGCGCATTCAAGCTTTCGCGCAACTGACCATTCGCGCAAATGAACTATCGCGCATTTAAGCTTTCGCGTAACCGTCTTCGCACTATCGTCATTCGCGTAATCGGCATTCGCACTCACCCCTTCAAAATTGCGCTGGCAGATGCAAATATAACAGGACTTCGTTTTTTCTAAAGGCGCGCTGCGTCCGATCTGACGTCCGTTCGGTCCGAAACATTTACTGTCAAATATATAACACTCGATTAAATTAAAAGACGCATGATTACGTATTCATTATTAATAGAAAAGGTCCAAAAAGCTTTCCTTCGGTTTTTACACAAAAAAAATGTATGGCTACTGCCCGTTTCTGTCTCCGACGAAGTATGTATTGGGAATTCTTTAATATAATTCTCTTGAGAAGAGGCGGAACAACAACTTACTCGTCTCTGTTTGTCAGGTCTTACGCGGTGAGTCGGATCGTCCTTGTGAACTTGTGGGGCAACTAGTAAGGCTATTTGTCCCAGACATCCCTAGAATAATTCTTAGAGTGCGACGTCGTGAACTATTCGCTGTGCCTTTTGCGCGTACAGTATCGCATAGGAACTCGCTGCTGCTCCGTGTGCCCAGCACCAGAGTGTGATTTGCTTGCGTGGCGACGGGCTGCTGTACGCTGTGAATGTTTGAGATTTTGTGAAATTATGGATGCTAGGGAATCGAGTGTGAATTATAAGATATTTGTCATTTTTTTTATTGATGTTAATTTTATTTTATTTTTAATTCCTTTTTTATATCTTATTCTTATTATTTTCATCAATAAATAAATAAAATTAAATGATGCGAAATGCGAATGAAGCTTCATACTTGACATTGTTTTTTAATTTGGTCGGATATTACTTATTTGACAGTAATTGTCTCGGATGGATGTCAGACGTAGGACGGGACTAGGCACCCAATTCTGAATCTAAATTAGAGTTCTGTGATTTATTTAGACTTCTATGTTAATTCAGTAATTAAAATTGTACCTCTATAAACTTTGCTAAATATGTATAGTTTCTATTTTCACAAATTCTCATAATACACAGTTCAGTCTCTTCAACTTTTGACAGGTGTCACTGTCAAATGTGGAAAAATATCTTAGAGGATGGAAAAAAATAAAGGAAAATATACTTAAAATATTGTGAGATATTTATTTTTCTGAAAAATATGATTTTAAAAATGGAATTTTTCCATGACCCAACACTAATTATAGATCTTTGTACTCGTTTATTTCGGCTTTCAAAGACTAATGAAGCTTCGCACTCAGCCAGTAACTTTTGTGGCCTTTTTTATTTATAGAAACGAATACATCCACAACTTTGAGCCACACAAGGTGGAAAGCTCCGGGTTATGGAGCCCTTTAAGCGTCGTCTTGGACTTCAATCCTGAAGATGCCTTGGCACGCACTCTCATCTTTGGTGGTTCCACTAGGGTGATCTTTTTATCTTCAATTACATTGACCTACCAACAAACGACGGGGACGACCACGTTGGGTATAATACAAAAACCACAAACAAAATGTCCAGAGTCAACCTACATCATTGGCCAATGGTCAATGATCTTTAAATGCCTCCGTGGCCAAACGGTTACCATACTGGACTGCCACGCAAGAGGCCCCGGGTTCGATTCCCGTACCGAGAGACATTATTTATGTGGCTTATATTTATTTCTCTCGTGAGTTTGGTATAGTGTAATTTGTAGTCGTCTATGTGTGAGTCCATGGCACCCGCGATACAGGGTTTCCCTAGGGGCTATGACTGTTTAAAAATCTTTTTTTACAATACCAAGTAACGAGACGAAGAAGTCGTGGGCCTGGTGGTAAGCGACACGCCTGTTCATAACTGTTGCAGTGCCACTCAGAGTTAAAGCTCTGAGTGGCACTGCAAACATCGGAGGAGCACTGCCACTGCGCCCATCACCCTGAGACATAAGTTGACAAGTCCCATGTGCCTGTAATTTCACCAGCGCCCCTACCCTTCAAAACCGGAACGCAATAACGCTCACATCACTGCTTGGCGACAGAAATAGGTAAGGTGGCTCTACTCCTATTATAATAAACGTAGTAACAAGTAAAAAAAAAAAAAATTAAAACGTTTAAAATTTTAGTTGTAACGTCATTGCAGTACTACTTAATTATGCTATTGATGCACTTTTTGCGATTTGATGTCCTTTTGGTTCGGACACTTACATAAGCGCGGACCTGAGGTCCATTTGGTGGTAGGTCAATGACTTTAAAGAAAAAATTCGTTCATCGTTAATGGCGGTATGCACTCACTGCCTGTCTCATAGCAATACAGGCAAGATAGTATTATATATTATATTTGTAACAATAATTTCACATCTCTAGAAACTTAGAGAATACAAGCTCTAAAAGGATATTTGTTCGTATTACTAACAACATAAAATTACCAACAAAATAATTTGAAATTGCATAAAGTAATGCAGTGATTTTGCATTTACCTGACCATAGTCGAGTTTTGAAATTTGACTAGTCAGTCAGGTTAAAAGCCATTTACTCGATTCTAGTCGCAAAAAATTAGATTTAGTCAGTCCACCGTTCAAAAGATAGAAGGGTGTTTTACAGTGTTCACAGTAAAACACCCTTATAAGTTTTGAATGGCGGACCGACTATAATAGACTTGTGCCTGATCGGTCCTTAGTGGGACCGGTCCTAGTTCAATCGGTCAACTGAGCTAGGTCGGTTTTCTAGTTCATCAAGTTCCTTAGTTCGTTAGTTCGTCTTGTCCTTGCTCGGACATTGTACCAACACACCAAATTAGTAATTTTATTCACATGAACTACTATGAACTTTTAGTGTTACGAGGTCAATAGTACACTGTACTAAGTATTTAAAAATACAATTTGTATGGAATCGGCACTATTTAATTTTCCTTCATAATTTACAAGTTTAAAGACTGTCATTCTAACTAAATATCCTTTTTTTTACAAAACAAGAATTTTAGTTCGAATGGTGTGTTTAATAATCAATATTTAGGTTCAACTATTTCATATACTCGTACACGTAGGTTAATATTATGCATACAGATACCTATCACACCTACCAAATAAATATGAGCACTTACTTTTTTGCAAGCTTAGATATATACTTAAAGTAGATACGTATTAGAGACTTACAATGAGCTGGCAACGTTCAATCGTGCATCCCACTCGAACTTGTACTAAAAGCAGTGAAAGATCGCTATTTGTCCCGCTCACACCGTTCCTACTGAATAAAAGACAGGTGACCTATCAACGCAGACAGTTCCTTCCCAACAAGCACACAAGCTGCTTATATTATCTCTGTACAGTCTAAAAGTTATATATTAGCTGTTTAAGGGATGTACTATAGTACTTAAGTTCTTCAGTAGCATATTCAAATGTTAGCGGAGCTATTAGCTTTTTTTATATGGTATATGGTATATTCCCAAAGCTCTTATGACACTTTGAGGTTTTGTAGAGGGTTTTGAAGATAGAAGTGTTTGAACGGAGTTATTAGTTTCCTTTAAAACGCTTTAGGTGGTATATCGTATATTTCTAAAGCTTTTATAACACCTTGAGATTTTGTAGAGGGCTTTTGAAGTTAAAAGTGTTTGAATGGAGTTATTGGCTTCGTTTAAAACGCTGTAGGTGGTATTTAGTACGTTTCTAATGCCTGGAACTGTTAAATAGATTTTACTACAGCCTTTAATTGGATCGCTATATCTACAGCAGACAAATATATTTCTAAAGTAGCGCTTAGGCCGTTATGTTTAAGAATTCTACAGCAACTTTACTTCTAAAAACTTACAGTAGCACGTCAATACCACAATTGTAACAGCGGTTAAATCGGTAGAAGGGTGTTAGTAAACTCTGAAGGTTGTTGTAACAGAGACGCCATTACAGTTTTTAATACAATGATTTTTTAGGTAATTTATATGTTTTTTAATATCTTAAATATGTATAAAAACCGAATCAACTTCACTCTTTCTCACCCATGACTTTAAAGAAACTTCTAAAATATCTTATTGAAACTAAATTCAAACTTCACACACTCAAATTAAATGTACTTTTTACACAAAAAACTGCACAAGTAGAAGGCGCATAAAAAATTTAGCTAGAATATATGTATATGTTTACAATAAACTGGTAGTCGCGCTTTTATTTTGCATGTATTAAACGGAAAACTTATTTTATCAAAGTGTTGTCATTTTTTATTTGCAATCGTATCCTCCATCACTTTCCAGTCAGCAAGGTAACGGTCTTTATGAGCAATAACATGTGTTTTATTTATTTCCCCATAATATCGCTGCTCTATATCTAGTACAGCGCCGTAAATTCTAATTCAGAGGTACAGGTAGGCGCACATTACTACTCGTATAGCTCCTTTGTATTACTTAGGCGCACATTGGCCGCTCTCGTAGCACCTTTGTATTACTTACATGCACATTTACCGCGCATAGTAACCGCGCGCATCTTCTTTCTCTCTGCTTTGTATCTATTACTAACACACATTTACGACTGTTGTAGGACTCATAGCGTATAAATCGGTGACCATTTTGGAGATTCAGCGGCGCTGTAGTCGCTTATACGTCTACTGTAGAACTTATTACATAGGGACAAGGAGGTGACTGAAAAACAGCGCTGTCTGCGACAACAACGATTTCAGGCCGCACAAGCTGAGATACCGGGTCCGGGTCCGGGTCCGGGTCCGGCAGGTCGATTCAGAACGTTACGGTAACTCTGTTGTCGACCGATTCGATTAGATATCGTACAATTTCTTTTCGGGTCCGGGTCCGGGTTCGGGTTCATGTCCGTGTCCGCGTCCGCGTCCGTGTACGTGTACGTGTACGTGTACGTGTACGTGTACGTGTACGTGT